GAGTGCATCTCATTTCTCTTCGGGGAAGCGGAGGAGCTGCCCTTTGCCGGCTCTTCCTTTTCTCATTTCCAAAGGAACCCCGCAGTGCGCTGTGAAGTCCCATAAAGTAGGGTGTTGCTAGCAAGATCGCAAGGGCATGGCCCAGCGCTCCTGTGTCCAGCCCTGGAGCGATGATGATGGTTCTGTATGGCTTCCCTAGTGTGAAATCCGTAGTGGTCAAGGCTTAGGTGGGTAACAGAGCCATAGTGCAAAGCCTTAACAATACTGAGTTGTCTCCACTGGGACATGGTCTTTCCTTTCTGTTCAAAACTGCTCATGAAATGTCAAACCTCACGAACCCCAGTGGGTTAATCAGATTGAGCTGCTAGTCCTGAGAGAGAGGGTTAGCCTCCTTTCAGGAGGGTCCCTTGGGCTCCCTTTCTTTGTCTCTGGTGTCCTTGGCCTTCATTCTAAAGGGGAGTCCCCCTCTCGCTCCCACAATCCATCCAGGACCTGCTGGACACCAAGGTAGACAAGTGAACAGGATGGGATTAGTGCTGGACAGGTAAACTGAGTCTAATCCCTTCCATCAGATGGCTCATGCTTCCTAAGTGCTAGTGCCTGGACTGTTGGGCCGAAGGTGTCTTGTTTTGCTCCAAGCCAGACTGCCTAGTTCCTAGGACACTACGTTAAGAGCTCCTGGAGAGTAGGATCCTGCCAAGGTCAAGCGTGTGTGTGTGTGTGTGTGTGTGTGTGCGTGTGTGCACATGTGCGTGTGTGTGTGTGCGCGCGCGCGCGTGTGTGCTGCTCCATTCTTGGGTTGAGATTTCAGAAGTGACTGGAACCACTGCCATAGTCAAGAACGCAGAGCCACGCCTGCCCTTAGGGCACGCTGCATAGTTTTCTTTAAGGGAACAATCCTTTCTATTCTCCTGCAGAGCCAAGGGCAGCAGGAGGTGGTGAAACTGCCATGAGCAGCCCTGGCACTGCTACTGCTCCATCTGGCATCTTTTCTCAAGAGCATTTGTGGTTTGTGCGCACTTCATGTGGGCGGGCCCTGCCTGTCTCAGCTCCAGCTGCCTCTACCTCATGCCAACCCAACTCCCCAGCCCTGTGTGCTCGCTGAGGGAGCACAGTGAGCAGTCTGGACCCCAGAGACCTGGTTAGGAGGGACACACTACAGGTCTGCCTGGGACCTACGAGTGAGCAGGTGCTCACTGTTTCAGGCACATGCTAGATTCTCTATGGTCTCAACAGTGAGATAAAGGCCAGGAAAGCGAGGGAGGCACAGACAAGCAGTTAAGGGAAA